GCAAAAGGAAAGTGGAGTGCAAGGAGAGAGTAAGTGACCCAGAGCACCATCCATGGGCAGAGCCCCCATGCCGGTTTAAGACCTGTACCAGTGGGGTTGTTGAGAAAAGGCTTACTTATCATCACGTACCAGCATGAGGAGTATGACCAGGATGGGAACATTGCACAAAACAGTAAGAAGTGTCCCTCTGGTCACATGCCTTTAAGTAGAGCTTGAAAACTGATCATGCAAATCAGCAGGTTTTCCTGGCAAGCACAAGTCATCCGTTTCTGAAGAACTCAGGGCTGGTTTTTAGTGGAAGCTGAGGCCTCCAGACTTTGACAGTAAGTTCTAGCAATACTTCAGAGACAAAAAACCCCAAGCCGTTCTTCCCGAATCCAAAGTCAGGAAACCCTTAACCCTTCTGTTGAAGCAACAAGCTTGCCAGACAGCATCATGGAGCTACCCTGACATGCCCACTTTACTGGTCTTGTTAAATATACTGAGTGTGGCACTGGAAATCAGGAGCTGAACTGCCTGTAGGGTTATTTTGAGGAGTGCACAGCTCTCCTCGAAGGAAAGTAGTCTTAAAGGGCAGAAGAAATTCACAAAACTGTGTAAACACGTTAGCTGCAAAAACCTATCCTGTCTGCATCCCTCATCACTGCAATGTCACACTGGTATAGAACAGGAAACAAAGCGGATTCTTTGCCTAGTATTTGGAGGAGTAAGTACAGCTGTATCTGAGCTCGGCATGTAACGTTGAAGATGTTGTTAATGGAAAGCCGTATGAAACATGGAGGGGCCCCTGGCAGCTAATACCATGGACCCTGTAAAACTGCCAGTTTAAGACCTGTAGCGAGACTTCCGTTCTCAAAAAGTTCAGAGATTAGATGCTAGCTGTGGCCCCATCCATCTATTGAATTTTCTTTGAGCAAACAGGTATGGGGGTTTTTTCTGAGCTGTGGCTTAAAGCCCAGAGTGTGAGACTCCCAAGTCCTACAGCTGTGCAGCACGGCGTGGCTGTGCCCATGCCCATTTCTGTTTCTCAGTGAAAGAGTAAGTGAACAGTACATCTGGGTGGGGCTGGGGTTTTTTTGTTTTATTTTAATTAGGCAAGGCACTCAAGCTCTTGGAGAGAAACCAAGGCAGCTGTTTGTGCAAAAGGACAGAATCACTGGCTGAAGAGATGGCCTTTCTGCAAGATTTGACTTTAAGCATCAGAAGGTGTACCAGTATACTGAAACACCAAAATGGATTACAGACCCTGCAGTTAAGGCTTTGGTTCAAAGAACCACAGAGTACTTGAAAGAAAACTTTTCAAAGGACGTGCAGAGCTTCTGTTGTGCTGGGGGAGCACACAGTGGAATTGAGATGGGCTGTGAAGCTCAGAGACTAATCTGACACAACATATCATGTTAAGTAAAAGTAAATAAGCCATTAAAGTGACCTTTGCAAAAGAACAAGAAGAAGCAGATGAGCTTTTATCAGATTGTTTAGGTTTGTGCCATTTCACATGTGATACAGGAGTCTGAAACAAGCATTTGTTCTCAAAGGTAGAGAGCGCTGAACAATCTTAACTTCAGATTTAAAGGACGAGGACAGTAAAGCCACACTTTGCAAAGAGATTCAGTTTCCCAGGAAGAATTAAGTAGAAAAGAAATCAGTTGGACCAACAGGCTCAGCTAAAAGACAAGAAGTGTGTTTGGGAAAGTGACGATTTATTCTTCTCTCCTTCCTTTACTTCATTATGAAATGGATTATTACTCTCAAGCCAATCATAAGGCAAAAAAGTTGTAACAGTCTCCCACTGTCCCATTTGTAGAGTCGATTCCATTAAGATTAGTGTAAGACTTCAACAACAGATTTTTGGTGAGCATTTATACGTATTCCACTTTCTAAGAAATCTGTTTCCTCAGTAGGGCTGCCATATAGGTGAAACACCAAACTGTGGAAGTTTTATAATCCATAGCAAAGTCATTAATTTAGGGTTCAATCCTAGCTTCAATTGAAGGCACAAGGCCAAAACGACACAAGTCAGTAGGGCCTGGGTTGTCTCACCAAATTTATCTTTTTTTTTTTTTAATCTCCAGTTTTAAGCCTTCAGTTTTTAGCCAAAGCTCAGCTCCTCAGAAACACAAACCTGCTCCACAAACAAAAACAATGAAGGTGTTTCCTCCAACATTTCACAGCATTTTCCTTCTTCGCTGTTATGTCAAAGAAAACAAAAGTCTTAGAAGCAAATCAGTTGTGCAGACAAAAGCTACAGCTACTGGATTCCACTGCACACGTAAGTGAGAAACTAATTTCCAGGGTTACTGGTGGCATGTGAACTGGAGGAACATTAACATTCTGCACAAACTTGTCATGTCTTGCAAATCCCAGGGTCCCTTTGATGACAGAAAAAGGTGCATTTAAATAACTTGTAAAATTTCTCCATTTCCATAAGCCATCATTAGTACATGGAATGATAGATATTCTTTAAAAGACTTAAATAGTGGTCCCAAGGGTAACTTCTGACCCCAGCAAACAGAACTGATCGGCATAAAACAAATAAAAATCCACCTTATTTTACAAATCAAAGGTTACAAATACTGTAAAATACACATAACCCCCTCAGCCACTGGAAAATTAACCATTACAGTCAGATTTAATTAGCTCTGCTTAGCAGCCCTAGATTTAGAGGGGACTGTACCTCACCGTCGCTACCACACACCTGCGTACTTCCCACCTCTCCCATTAATGTGAGGGGAAAGGACATTTTGGTGAGAACAACCTCTTTTAAGAAATATGAACAAGCACATTTCTGAGAACTTATCTGTGAATACAGGACTGTCCAAGTAGCTACAAAACCAAAAGGAAAAGCACTATGGAAAGCTGACTTCCAAATCCGTCATTTAAAAATCTATTTGCACATACAAAAATGAAAGATCCCAGGGCTCCCAAAAGATTCTTAAAAAGAAATGGGTCTGCTTTGTCTTCAAGCAACTGAACAGATTTCACTAATTCTGTTGGGACCAGGAATTGTTGTAATACATTTAGACTGTCTGCTTTTAATACTACTAATGAAAATACTTCTACCCAAAGTACTCCTAAGGAAAAAAAAAATTTGAAAGTTTCTCCACAATCCAAAAAACGATGACTAACATGAACTTTGCTGTACAGTTGTAAGCTTGTTTTGAGTTAACAAACACCTTACAATGCAGTATCTGGACAGGAAGGGACGGAAGGAGGCTGACAGAGTTATACCTAATGTGCTCACAAGCTTTCCCAGTGCCCAACCTCAGAAAGCAGCTTTCAGTCAGAATACCTGAGTCTAACTGATGCAAATAATATATAAAATGCATGTGTAGTTTCACTTGCGTTTCACATTATCTCCTGCATTCC